TCTGCCTTACAAACTCAATCCAAGTATATCGTGAGTATTCATCAATTAAAACTAAGATATACTTCTTACCAGACAAGCTCTGCATAGAGATTGGACCACAAAGATCCACATGAAGCATATGCAGAGGTTTGATGCAGGACACATCTGTCTTAGTTTTATGGGATGCTCTTTTGAGCTTTCCTATTTCACACGTAGAGCAGAGATGGTCCTTTTCTAACTTTATGGCAGGAAGTCCGTCAACCAAATTATGCTTTACAAGCTTCTCTAAATTTTGAAAATTGAGATGCGACAGCTTGTGGTGCCAGAGCCAAGCTTTTTCACTCTTGCGAGACACGAGATAGAGAGTCTCTGAGTTGTCTCTAGGTGAGAAGTTCATGAGATACAGATTGCCTTTTCTCTTAGCTCTTAGCAACTCCTGACCTGATTCTGACATAATGGAGCAAGCTTCCTTTTGGAACTTGACATTGTAGCCAGGATCACACAGTTGACTTATGCTCAAAAGATTATGTTTAAGCCCAGAGACATAAGCAACCTTGGAGACAGAAACCTTACCTTGTAGTAGATCCACGTATCCCTTCATTTATCCTTGTTTATTATCCCCAAAGGTTACTTTTCCTCCAATCTTCTTTCTGTATGAGGAGAGCAACCTCTTATTGTCGATCATGTGTCTTGAGCACCCGGAGTCAAGATACCAAATGTCCGCATGCGGCTTCTACAAAACAAATTATAGGGATTTAGGTACCCATTTCATAATGGGTCCTCGATGATTAGGGATAGAGGGTTACTTTTTAAGCTTGAGAAGAGGCTTCGTCTCTTGACCTGAATTAATAGACTTGGCTTTAGGAGCCTTCTTTCTCTTCTGGGTCTTTTTAGATTTAGACTTTGATGACCCAGAGAGTAGACATTTAGGGCCAGAGAAATGATGTTTTAATTTCAGCAACAGAGAAACACATTCACAATTATGAAAACATTTTGAATGACAAAATGATTTATTAGCTTTAAAGAATAAATTATTACAATCATTCCTAGCATTGGTAGTTCTAGCAAACTTCCTATCTAGATCTAATTGATTTAACACAGAATGAGTCTTCTCTGACTTCTTTCCTACTCCTTTGGCCTGCTGAGGCCTCTCTGAAACAAAGGAACTCTTGTTTTTCTACAGTCTGTAGCTCTGTCTCTCGTTCAAAAAATAGTTTTTCCTTTTCCAAGGATTTTCATTTAGATTTTTCAAGAGAAAGCTTTTGCTGTAGGTTGACGAAATCGTTTGTCAAAACAGAGATGCTCTCTTCCAGGTCAGAGTGAGAGTACCAGAGATAGAACATACCTGGGAGTCGGAGTCAGATCCAGACTCATTCTCAACAGCCATCCCACAGAAGTTGGCTTGGTCTTCTTCATCAGATGAGGAGTTAGAGACCCAATTCTTTTGTTCTGCCATGAGACTCCTTTGTGATCAATTATACTTGTACTTATTTTTGTAGTACAGTTCATCTTTCACATGAGGGCCTCTGCACTCTTTGGAGTAGTGCCCCATCTTTCCACATTTGAAGCATCGGACGCCTTACTTTTTTTGTTCCGACTGCTCTTCCTCCTTCTTGTTGGGAATAGAAGGAGGGTTCCTTCCATCAAAAGACTTCCCTCTGCTTCGGTCGCTTTGTCTTCCTCTTTTGTCGAAGACCTTCTTGCCAAATTTCTTTTGGAATTCCTTGGTGATCAGGGCCAAGGATTTCGTAAAGGCGTTGATGTCATCGTCTTCAGAGCTAGATGCTCTGTCTGATTCATCATCACTCTCCAAGATGAGAGCCTTCTTTCCTTTTCTTCTTTCTTCTCGGGGTCTCCGTTCTCTGTACGTCTGGCATGATCCTGTCTCTTTTGAATCAGAGACAAGAGCCAGAGGTCCGCCCAAAGCAACCTTTGCCTTCTACACCTCTTGTTCTTGAGCCTGCAGCGTCCCATATACATCATGCAGAGTCCATTCATCCAGATTCTGGTTTTCCTGAAGGGACATCGTCAGATTACCTCATTCTGCGTTCAACCTCTTCAAGAAGAGCATGTTGTTCTCCTCGTGAGTTTTGATAACGTTGCACTTGCGACATTTGTTGATCAGCGTGTTGAAGTGATGATAAGTCTGTTCTAAAGACTCATCAGGGAGTACCTGGAAGTTGTTGTATTTATTGAGGCATTGGGCACGACGATTCTTATTCATCTTGATGCCCCCTTCCAACTGGTTGGCCAGTTGACATAAATCCTTCACCGAGTCGCACGCGTCTAGTGACTGGAAGATTTCATTGGGAAGCGCCATGATCAAAAGTCGTTTGGCCTTTTGATCCACCTTCACTCGTAGTTTATCTTCATCGTTCCAGTCACGACGAAGTTTGGGTACTCGCCTGGCAGGTACCTCAACTGTATCACCAGCAGCAGGAATCCGAGGTATGATGGTTGTAGGGACGTACGGGCCATTTAGAATTGACTCATACAATTCAAGGTCAAGACCCTCGTAAAAATTGATCATCCTGATCTTCCATGGGGGATATTCTTCCCTAATGAGAGTCGGAGGTTTTGTTAAGGAGCCGGCACTATACATGGAGTTCCATGATTGAGAAGACGACATTTTAATTTGAAATTTTGAGAAGAGAACTTTGACAAGAAGGAAGATCGACTGGGAAAAAAACGATTTCCAGATTACTCAAAAGCAAACGTTTTAAGATTGAAAAATAGGAGTGATAAATCTTTAAAAAATGAATAATCAAAAGATAATTAAGAGTATTATCCAGTCGAATATCGATTGACTAATCAATTGATTTGATTAGCAGGCTCTGATACCAATTGTTGGAACCCAGATACTCTTAATTTGCAGAAATAATTGTTTGCGTAAAATAAGAATCAAGAATAGCAAAGTATTTCTATTGATTAAACAAGATATTCAAAGAAGAAAGTAAAGCAGTAAATAAAACTTTGAATAACCGAATGCTTTTATTGATAATAATAAACAATTTGAAGAACAAAAGGTAATCTCGCAAGAATTCGCGTATAGTATAAGTCGGCTCCTTCAGGTTTTTTGAATCTAAGGTGGAGGCTTCCTTATATACACCTAAGTCTAACAAACTAAGCTATAAATAAGGCGTGGAACTCTGAGATGACTGGTCTGCATCCTTATCTTTGACTTCCCTTGAATAGCAGAGCAGACTTGGTCAAGCCACTTTGAATCTGTTAGACGCTTTGCGAGAATGTCTGTGCTTTTTTCTTTTGAAGTATATAATATTTATATACGGCAAATGTCTATGCTAACGCGCGCTTTCCGTGAAGAGGGTAGCTAGAAGCTTTGCATGAGCATACAGAAGCTCTGCATGTACTATGCAGAGGCTCTGGGTCTTGGAGGAGTTGCTTTAAGTCAAGCGCTTATGCTTTTTGGCGCACAAGACTTGAACGTTCACGGAGATGGAGCGCGGGCTCTGTATGAAAGGAACCTTCACTCTGAGTAAGAGCTCTGGTTCTTGATCCTCTGCATGAGAGCTCTTAGCTAGACAGCTTCTATAGACTAAGTCCTATTGACTACAGCAAGATACTTCTTACTTACACTTTCACAAGTTGGGGTCTAACAATTCATGTTTGTGGGTTTTTAATAGTCAGAATTCCATCTTTTGCAAGATGAACAACAAATGGACTATCATTAAAGTTATTTTTCATAGATCTGACTTCACTAGAAAACTTGTCCTTTGAAAATGTGGCCGAGGAAAGAAACGATATGAATCTGATTTGTTTGAAGGTATAACCAAGCTGTTTTAAGGTGGGTAGTTTTTGTTTGTGATTGGGCTTCTTTCTGGCTTGCAGCTTACTTTAAAGCAGTCATGTTACCAGTTGGTTTTGATCAAGAGAAGTAGGGATCAAATAGAATGAATGTGACTTGTTGAGAATGATGATGTTGAATTTATTTTGGCGGGAAAGTGATGTACCAATTACTATTGCTAATTATTGTTATCATGTATAGCTAGCTAGCTGGGAGGGTTTAAATTTAAAAACATAATAAGCCACAAAGTTGGCTGAACGAGAGGTCGTAGGTTCCGTCTGTTGGGTGTTATGGGTCCATGCCTATTTTCATAAGATAGAGCTTTGTTAGTTTGAGTGCGTGTAATAGTCATGGTAGACTCGGATCCCATTGATTTAGTCGAATCCCAAATGCTAACTACCATTTTAATCTTATTTGTTGAGAAATATGAGAACGGCCCAATCCCAAGCTTAAGAACCTTTTAGTGTATTCTTTTTTCTTTTGATTACCTGTTATCCAGCACCCTTCTCTCGACTTTTAAGTTGATTTTGACCTAGATGCAGCTTGTATTTGCGAAAACTCAAAAGATGAAAGTTGTAAGCCCGTCTGTTGTCTTTCTAAAACATCTTGAATCTCCTTAAACAAAGCTTGGATGAGTGAGATATGGTTGAAACGCCACAGCCTCGCAAATCTGTCAAATATACTTTTTTTGTTCTTAACTTTGGTAAAAAAATAGTATTATTTTTATTGGTAAACATTTATTTAAAGTATGCATTTTTTTTCCTTCCATGAAACTATTAATAACAAAAATAATTACATATTATTCAACATATAATTACAAATAGGGTTATAATGTCATTTTATTGTTGGTAAACACTTACCAAAAACACTTGGTAACCACTCTTACCCGGGACAATACTTACCGAGACAACACTTACTCGATTCAATACTATTATCCAGACAACATTTATCAAATAAGAGTTGATAAACGAAACCTTAATTCAATTTCAAGGTATCATACCAAAACAATTTTAGTCTTTTATTCTTTAATTATTTATGTTCAGGCCCAGCCTCCACAGCAGAAAGCCCAAGGGGCATCACCTGTTAAGACACGTTTGTCTTTGGCTGCCTAGCATCAAATATTAACTTTGTGCCTTAAAAAATGTTAACGTCCGCTGCCCCCACCTGACGTTGTCTGGCCCTCTCTCTCTCTCTCTCTCTCGCGGCTTGCCTCTCTTCAGATTGAACTCTCAATTTGTTGGGAACCCCAGTAATTCTCTCTCCCTGGATCTCTTAGTCTTAAGCAACGAATTTAGACTTCTAGGTAAATTTATAAACTTTAATGATTAATGTTTATGTCTTTCAGATAGTTTCTGATTTGTTTTATTAGTTGGGTTGTTGTCTTGTTGATTTTTGATAGTTAGATGAGTAGTTCAATTTGCTAACCTGTCTATCTTGGTTTCTCATTGATTTTTGCTTTATGTTTGGGGTTTGATTTGTTGCTTATTGTTTATAACATTATCAAATTTGATGGTGCCCTCCAAATGTTCGATGAAATGCCACGAACATAAACTCTGTGATATTCTTGTTATATTAATTTAAAAGACTGTAAGATTGGTTACATAGTTTGATTCTTGATCTAAAAGTACTGATTTTGCTTGTTTTCTTCATGTTTTGTGGCCTTTACGTCTTAGGGGTACCTAACACAATTTATCATGGTCAATATAGGAAGCCTACGTCTTAGGGGTAGTAATTACAATTTATCATGGTGAATATAGGAAGCCTACAAAAGAATGGAAGTAAGATTGTTGCGTTGTAGTTACTCAAGATATTACTGGAGAATGGGTTGTTTTTGGAACTAGTGAAAGGTAATTTTTGTCATTAAAATTGTGTGATATCATGATCATGTTCTTTCATGTTCAATTGTCCGATGGCCTTTTAGGACCTTTGATTTCAAGATAAAACCTGGTTATGGATTTAGGGTTTATGACAAATTAACCAAACACCAACTTTTAGAATCAAGTGTTGTGCATGTTGCTTAGAGCATTATCTATTACTTAGTACATGAAACAAAGTTATAAACATAATCAACCATATCTCTTTCATAGAATGTTGAGCTATTCTATTAGATGCATCATTCATAATTTATTAGTAATCACACTGTTTTAATTTCGTTTAATAAGTATCAAGTATACAGTATATAACAATGTCAATTTGCATAACTCTCATGGTTTCTCTATCTAATGAGTTGTTTGTCAAATTGATTTCAACAACGCTAATTCCTATATCATGTTAAACATGTTTTCTAGATTTCTAGCTTAGTGTATTCCCAAAATATTTCTTAAATGATCTTCAATTTCCTCATGTGCATTAATGTACAAGTTATATTTGCAGTCCTTTAAATCACCCATTTTTCCATATATTTAGTAATTTATTGTATATTTGTGTTGATCAAAGATGTTGACATTTGAAAACTGATCTGTAAGTGGCCCATGGTGAGTGGTGACTAGTGTGGTTTCTTTTGTTTGAAAACTCACGTTGAGCCGGTAAATCCTTGGTCCCATAGGAATAGTGTGTTTTGTCTGTTTCTTAGGTTAGGGGAATTTTTTAGATTTTTCGCCCAGGGCATCAAAAACCTAAGGACCGGCCTTGTTTATGTTGTACAACTTGATTCATGAAATTGTTCTTTATTCGGGGTTCTGTTTTGCTAAAAATGGTCTGTAATCTGAACTTGGGTTTCCCATTTCTGTTTTCCCTAATATTTAATTGTTCATTTGAGCTGTTAATTTGGTTTGCTGCTGATGAACTTGTGTTTCAGTGTTCTGAAAGTGTTTGGAATTGAATAATATAGCTGAAGTTGTAGTGCTGTAAACTTGAATTGCAGAACCATTGTAGCAGGTAACTGGTTTATCATTTTTAATAAACCGTGATTATTATGATTAATTTTTTTTTGTTTTATCATTGAATTTTTTCTGGATCTGCCTCAGACGACTCAACTAGTTCTTAGTAGCTTGGTTGTTCACAACCAACAATGGCGGCCTCCATGCAACTTCTCAATGTCACACCCTTTAGATTCCACTCTACTTCTATCCCTCAACACCATTCAAGACCAGTGATTGCCCGCTGCTCCGCCACATCATCCACAGCCAAAAGCTACAACATCACTCTGCTTCCTGGTGATGGAATTGGCCCTGAAGTCATCTCTGTTGCCAAGAATGTTCTTAATCTTGCTGGCTCAATTGAAGGTGTATATATTCATAGTTTGCAATTAATGGATTCAATAACTATTCAAACTCATATGTTTGTTTTAGCTTTACAGAACGTATGATTCTTTGCTAGGGATTGAATTCAAGTTCAATGAGATGCCTATGGGAGGTGCTGCCTTGGATTTGACCGGAGTTCCATTACCGGAGGAAACTCTGACTGCCGCAAAGCAATCTGATGCTGTTCTCCTTGGTGCTATTGGCGGGTGAAAGTCTTTTTGTAATAGCCTAGTATTTTGATTTTGAATTTACACAAATAACATAAAGGTATAATGTATTATAAAATCAGAAAACCATTTGTTAATTGGGTACATGGAATTGAATCAAAGGCTGCATGGTTCAAATTACAATATATCTTTTGTTAGAATTGGAGTTTCAATGACTTTTTGATGCATCTGTTTTAACGGTTGAGGTTTTGATTTATTTTATCTTTTGATTAAATGGATTGAAGGTATAAATGGGATAAAAACGAGAAACATTTGAAGCCTGAGACTGGATTGCTACACCTTCGTCAAGGTCTTAAGGTCTTTGCAAATTTGAGGCCAGCGTCTGTTCTACCACAGGTACGCTAGTCATGGTCCTCGTGGATATGAAGATACTTTGATATGCTATTCATTCAATTCTCATGCATGATCTACCTATTATGATAAGGGGTTAATGAGCAGTAAAATGTGATTTTTGCAAAGTCCAGTTTCTGATTGTAAGGTTTCAAGTAAGGATATTTGCATGGCATCTAATGCTTCCAATGAGAAGGGCATATATAGTGAATTCTAGCTTTTATATGTATTTTTTCTGTAATGTTTGTTTGTGATTACTTTAGCTTTCTTAATTAGTTTATTAACATTAGTAATAACTTACGATGAAGTTGATTGGCTTACGTTATTTGTTACAAAGAAGGTGGTCATGAATTTTGTATAAATATTCAAATCTCCAACTACACGTTTTTCAGACTTGATAAATAGTTTGTACGTCAACTTACACTTTGTTGGCAGGGGTCTTGACAACTTTTCACATTTTGTCTATAGGAATAAGGCTCATTCTATTCATTCATCATAACTTTTTCCTGAAGTATAGAGAAAAAGGGCAGCACTGTTAAACCTATGATGATATTGAATCTAGAAAATCTAGTTATGCTTTTGTTTAAGTTATCAGAGGACTAGCCATCCATCAGCTTACTTATTTCCTAAATACTTGCTGTGAGCATATAAGAGTTAGATGATGGACAGTTTTCATGTCCATGTCATACAGATGGTTGAGAATCTTTTTACAACACATGTAAATGGTAGGGATCATCAACTACCTCCACTATATGTGCTAACAGACCATCCATGGGCCATGACTAGTTTACTGCCTATATAATCTTTATCGACTAGTCACAAAGTATGTAGCTTCCACTGAAATTAGGTCTACCATTGTATATTTCTGAAGCATGCACCCCATATGTCACATTTTGATACAATCTAATAGCCAAACCTTGAATCCTTATAAGAACAAACACAACTCGAATGTTCATTATCGACATTTGACAATATTTTTATAGGTTCTTTATAAAGCAGCTTGTTATGGTCTTTAAGAAAAACTTCTGAAGCCAAAGGATTGGGAAAACAGCTTATTTTGAGACAAAGGCGTTCTAAATGATCAGTTTCATTGCCCCTTTGATACAATTACTCAGTAAACATTTGAAAATTACCTAGTGAAGAGTCGATTGATAAAAATGAGTCGGTTGGGAGGAAAATTCAATTGGAACATTTTTCAATGTTCTATGTAATCAATTTAGAAGAAGGCACAAAGTTTCATTTCTAGTATGCCACCCTCTGATTCTATGTCAGATCAGGGTAATAATGAAAAACTACGCGATTTGCAGGGTGTATAGTTTACCTACCTTCGTTTTAAAATGGGTGTGAATTAGGGTACAAAAGATAAAAAAGCTTATTGTATTCTGGGCAAAATGTTTTCTGAATTGGCTATACTAGTTTTGTTAACTCATTGGGTAATTTATTAATTCGACTAATTACCAGATTGATCCCCATCTAAGCTAATATTATATCCTGCTTAAATTTTCAAAGGCTTAATTTAGCAACTAGTTATTGACGCCGTGGGAATGCTGAATGCCTGTGTGGCCGATTAAGTTGCCTTACCATGTGGTGGGGGGATGCTGAACGCCCTGGTGGCAGATTGAGTGGCCTAAGCAGAGATCCTACAACACTGTTTTCCCTTATGGATATAGGGCCATAAGCAATGGCTATTAATGGTATGGCGAGTGACCACCCAAGTCTTTGTGGAGTTCAACTTTAAACAAATTTGTGTTTAATATCCAACTTCTGCCAAATGCTACTGTATCTGATCATGCTCTCTAACTTTGGACAAAGGCTACTGCAACTGATCATGATTTACATGTCACATTAATTGGTGAAATAGCTTGTTGTCATAGTTGACTTGTGGTTGATTCATCATTTCATTATCTTTACCACTTTCAGTTAGTGGATGCTTCAACATTGAAGAAGGAGGTTGCTGAAGGTGTCGATTTGATGGTTGTAAGGGAACTTACAGGAGGTCAGTGCATAGATCTGCGCAGATTTACTTTAGCTTGAACACATTTTATTTTGATACTTTTGTGTATAGGAGGTAGTTGAAGAAGGATTTCAGCACATCAAGAAATTAGTTTATTGTAAGGTTTATATATATATGTATATATATATATATATATATATGTAAGTGTTGCTCAGTGTGCTTTGCTATGTTGTGTACAAGTTGAGGGAATTTTCTCAATCTCTTTCACCGGTAACTGGTGTTGCTCACATACTCAATATAACTAGAAAACACCCCTGTTCCATTTTTTCTAGTTGTCCATTCTGGTGGAAGTTTTTGGTTATTCTTTGAAACTTGGATCCTTGGGTTTTGTTTTTGCTAAGAAGACATGCAATGGGTATGTATCTTTACTCAATTACGTAGGCATGGATGATCTTTGACATGAAGTCCAATTTTAAGACTTGTTTATTTGACTTATTTGCAGCTATTCTTTTTTGTAGTATCTGTTTGGAACTTATTATAAAATTTGGTTTCCATTTTGAGAATCAGTTTCTTGAATACTTGCAATAGCTGAATTTGAAAATGAAAAAGTGGATGGTGGATGTGGAAAATGTTGGTAGGGGAAAGAATGACGAATAGCTAAAAAACTTAACGTTAGATTTTCTGAATTTGGAATATCTTGCATGGATTGAACTTCGTAATTGAATCTTATCAGTACAAAAAACTGGATAGTTTTGTTTCTGGTCGGACATGCCTTACCAATTTTTATTTGTTGAAGGTATCTACTTTGGAAAACCAAGGGGATTTGGAACTGATGAAAATGGTCAGAAGATTGGCTTCAACACTGAGGTTTATGCAGAATATGAGGTTGGCATCTCGTAGAATTTTCCTTTGTTGAATTTTGTCTTGGGTTTGCATTGCCCGCCCTAGCCCTCTATCCTCGTCAATTCTCAAGGTTAACATAGAAATTTTTATCTTTGCATTTCATCATGTATGCTAAGAACCTTTCTTTCATCCGAACCAGATTGACCGCATTGCTCGTATTGCATTTGAGACGGCTCGTAAGCGCAGTGGCAAACTTTGTTCTGTTGATAAAGCAAATGTCCTGGAGGTACCAATGTCTTTGTAGATTTTTGTTTTTAAATTTTATTTTTATTTCTTTCTCCCCTTATTTTGTTTTTGACAATTGAGCAGGCATCAATGTTATGGAGGGAAAGGGTAACAGCAATATCAGCAGAGTATCCTGATGTTGAACTCTCCCACATGTACGTTGATAACGCAGCCATGCAGCTTGTCCGAAATCCAAAACAGGTTTTTTTTATTTGTTGCTGTCTTCTATGAATAGTGAAGAGAAAATTGAAACAAACAACTGATGGTGTATCTCCATGAATTTGCAGTTTGACACAATAGTTACAAACAACATATTTGGTGATATTTTATCAGATGAGGCGTCGATGATCACTGGAAGCATTGGGATGCTTCCTTCTGCTAGTCTTGGTGCATCGGTATTGTGATCTAGTTTCCCCATTTGGCTTTCTTTCACTCGAGTGTGTTTTAGTCTTGGCTCCTATTGATTTTCTTCCATGGGTCCCATCTTTGTTTATCCTAATATGCCACTATCATTCCAATATAAACAGGACCAAAAATTGTAAACGTCTAATGGTTTTTGATTTTTATTGTATTTTTTGTGTGTAGGGACCTGGACTCTTTGAGCCCATCCATGGTTCTGCTCCTGATATTGCTGGGCAGGTAGTTAATTAATTAATGTTTGAAATTATAAATGGGTTTCTTTAATTAATGATTTAAATTGATTGTTCAGGATAAAGCAAACCCCTTGGCAACCATACTAAGTGCTGCAATGCTTTTGAAATATGGTCTGGGTGAAGTGAAGGCAGCTGAGAGGATCGAGTTGGCTGTGCTGGATACTTTAAATGAGGGATTTCGTACGGGCGATATTCACTCAGCTGGGAATGTATGTACCTTCTTCCTCAACACTAACCAATGCAACTAGGAGCTTCTACTTGACTTGATATAAATCAAATGAGAGTTTAAAATCATTTGAAAAAAGAAGTTAAGTTTATAGGTTGGATGGAGTGATGGAACAACCTGTTTCTGAAATGCAAGGAAACATTAAACTTGATAATAAATTGAAAAGCATTCATTATTCGCATCAAAAGACCCACAAATGTATAAAATACCAATTCCCTGCTAGTGATATTGCAGCTAAAATGAGGAATCCAAGTTAATTCTTGATTTTTAAACCTGTTGTAATATGCAGAAATTGGTTGGATGCGAGGAGATGGGTGAACAAGTGTTAAAGTCTGTGGATACAAAGACACCTGCTGCATCACTACTCTAAGGTTTTATATCGAATCCTTTTAGATGTTAGCTTGCGGAATCATGGACGTTTTTACGAGTTTTAAGTCATCTCATGTCGAGATTAATCATCATATATTTTCTTGACCAACATGTATTGAAATTTTGTTGTATGTAAAACATCATGGTGGAAATCTCCTTATTTTCAGACCAAAGTTTTGATTTTTTTATTTTTAGTAACTGAGTGTACACAACTCAACTAATCTCATGATGCCATGATGATGTAGTCATGAAAATTTGTACACAACTCAACTAATCTCATGGTACCATGAAGATGTAGTCATGAAAATCCCCTGAAAAGACTCGAATTAACAACCTATAGGAAGGATCCCCAAGGCCTAACACTTGAATAGGTTGCTGTATAACACATTTGTATATCAACATCTATATGTACATGCACACACATGTAGGTGTATGTATTATCATTAGACATCTACAATAGACAACATTATTTTCTACACCAATAATACTAGTTATTATTTTCTTTTTCCACCTTTCGTTATTATATAACTTTTCCAATAATACTAGTTGACTTCACAAATTATACTTACATTTTTATACTTTTATTATTATTATTATTATTATTATAACTCAATAAACTATAGAGTAAATTATGGATTTAGTCCATTAGGTAAGGTATGAAAAAATATATACTTCATTTTTGGTCCTTGTGCTTTTATACTTGTCTTGCTTTTGGTCACTAGGATAGGATTTATGTTGATTTTGTATACTGATTTTAATATACAAGAATATAAAAAGAAACAATCAACAAGAAGATATGTTTAAATCAGATGGTTCTTCTTAGCTGTTTCTTCATCTGAATCATTTATCATTTCATCAAACGATTTTTGAAATCAAATGTTTTTAAATTATCCTTGGTCTTAGATTCAGAATTAGAGTCAATGTGTTGATCCTTTATCATTATCAACGATTCTATACTTTTGATCATAATTATATCATTATCAACGATTCTATATTTTTTATCATAATTATGCGTACAACGTTCAGAACTCTGAATATATTGTTCAGAGTTAAGAAATTTTATCTTCAGATTTAGCTTTATGAAGTGTAAAATCATAATCATGATGAGAATAATGTGGTTTTTTTTGTCTTCATAAGTTTTATTTAATGAAGAATAGCCATACCCAACATTAGTATATGTTTGAATATTGCTTTCACTAAGTCTCAATATTTTCTAAAGTACAATCACTGCCTTGAGATCTAAAATCTTCTCATATTTTCTCTTACCCTTTATTTTCAGACTTAGGAGAAGAAGATTCAGCCCTTAAGGATGGTGATTTGCCTTGACCCGAATAGGGACGGGGATTCCCTGCTAAAACGGGTCCCGATGTTACTCAAATCGGGGCCGGGGATCCCCGGTAGAATCAAACTAAAGGATATTCTTCATGGGGTTTGATCGGGGATTTACCAAGGTTTGACCGGGTATTGATAGAGGTTTGACCGGGGACAGGATGTTAATCCCCGTACCCGCCAGAGACCGGGGCCGGGGGATGTCACTACAAACCGGGGCCGGGGAATACAAAACCCGTCCCATCCCCACCCTGTTGCCATGCCTATTCAGACTTAACAAAGTATTTTTCCAAAGGGATTATTTCAATCAGATTTTCATTTTTAGCCTTAGGAATTGAATTTTTTTGTATTGTTTTGAAATATGTCTATCTTTGAATAATCATAAAATTTTGATGGAGCACTTATCAACACAATACTTTCATTCAATCCCAAACCCATCTCTGGATTATATAATCCGGTATCCTTTGGATTGCTTGTTATAAGATTTAAAGTCTGTACAATATGTCTTCTTTTGAAATTCAAATCCTCAAGTTCTTTTATCTTTTTTTTTGTTAACATGGATATCCAACCCGCTATGCGAGCCGATTAATCACAGGACGACCACCTGCTTTGTAGATAGTTCGGAGTCACCGCATTTGAACCTCCACGGCTACAAGGAGATTTTTATTCATTATTGGATTTGAACCTGAGTCCTCCTGGTACTTTTGACCTTTGAGCCAAGCTCAAACCAATCAGGCACCACCCTTGTAGTTAAGTTCTTTTATCTTTTGATACAATTCAACTGTTTCTTTTGAAATAAAATCAAATTTAACAAATAAAACTTATTTTTCAACTCTAGCTTCTTCAATAGTTAAAGACATGATGACTTATGTGATCCAATATTGTTCTTGATTGTTTCTTTTAAATTATTGTTATTAACTCAGTGTATGAGATTAACAATTAGTATCAGAGCATACGACATTTGAATTTGATCTCAGATCATACTCTGGTTATAAGATCTTGATTTGATTTTCCGACTAATTGATCAATTTCTCTCAAATTGATCAATCTTCTTTGTTTCTTGATCTACCTTCTTTCTGAATTCTATATTGTCATATCGATCATTTCACTAATTTCAAGATGTCAAAAGAATAAGTAAGCATTGGATCAGAAACCAAATCACCAACACTTTTTGTTGGAGAATATCATCAATCGAGGATTCAAATGATACAATTTCTTGACAACATTGACAAAGAATTGATGAAACCAATCATTGAAGGTCCATTAGAAGTTTTCATCGAAATTCCTGTTGTACCAAAAACTACAAATACTCCACCATACCTTCTTCAAGAATAAAAAAAGATCCAAGCATGTATAATGTTGAAAAGAAGCTGAGAGCCAAATTGACATAATGTAATTAACTTTACTTACAATGACTCTTCCCAATGAAATCTTCAACATGATTGATAGTCTCAAGTCAGCAAGGCTATCTGGGATGAATTGGAGGCACAAATGCAAGGTAGTGTAAAGGCTCTACAAAACAAAATCAATATATGCATTGGAGCCTATGAAGTGTTTAAAGCGAAGGAATCTGAATCTCTTACATAAACCTATAACATATTCAATGATATATTGAATGATTTGAGGAGGAATAGAGTTCAAAAGTTGAATTTAGAAATCAACAACAAATTTCTAGAAAATCTTAAGCCAGAATGGGACAGTTTTGCAGATAATCTTTTAACCAAGAAGAATATCCATGGCATTTATGGAGTTCTTAATCAACATGAAGAAAAGGTTAAAGAGAGATAATCAGAGAAGAAAAAGGTTAATAAATTTCTTGCTCTAATCTCTAAAAGAAAATATAAGAATAGTTCCAAAAGATCTTCCTCTCCAAAGATTATGGAGATTCCAGAATTAAGATCTCACTCTAACTCTGAAAGAAAATTATGACAATCATATATATAATTAGAATTAGAATTAGAATCAATATACAATTAAAACCTTATTACAATCAATACAGTAATACGTATAAAAGATAGAGACAAATTATAGTTTATATATGTATATATATATACATACATACATATATATTAAATCAATTTTTTATTTAACCTAAAATCAAACTCTATATGATTAACACTAGAATCAATATAATGCATATCTTTTATTTTTCATAAATTTATTAAAACCTCTCTTTTTTTTTAAAATTTTATAGAGAAACCAAACTATGAACCGTCTAAAACAAATCTAAAAAGCTTGAACAAGTCAAATGAAAAAATAACAAGTCAATCAAACTCCTATGTATCTAGAATGATCACAGTACTAGCTATTATTGTTCTACTTTGTACAATCGCATGTAGAAAAATAGGGGTTTGAAGAAAGTTTTTCGCCAATGTTGGAAATGAGTATATTATTACTAATGTAAGCAAATTGCAAAAATATTTAACAATTATATCAAAGTAGGTAACAACACAATGTTTGTTTGGTGAATATAAATATCTTAAGAGAATATATGTATTATAACAAAGCAATTATCATAATACACGTCATATGATTATAATCAATATTTTCACATATTTTTTTTATGATTTTGAACCAATTACAAAGTTTGATATAATAAAAATATTGATATATAAGACTTATTAATTATATATATATATATATATATATATATATTAAAAGAACAACTAATAATGATAAGGTAGATTCATATATCAAAGGTAATATTGATTCTTATTAATTTAATATATAAATGTGATCATCGACCCATTTAGCTAACTTCAATAATTTTAAAAAAGATTATTGTCACCATGCAACACATGGTCTCAAACACTAGTTAATATAATGACAAAATGTCCAAATTTTTAGGGTAGCTTGGCAGTTAACCAAGAAAAGTATGGGATTTTTACTTGCGCTTGGAATGCAAAAGCACAAACTTGGTTGACGAACATAGTTTATGCGCCGCTAATGTAGCAGCTTGTCAAGGTAGATCGGTATTGCCCATATAATAAAAGCAGATCTTGGTCTATGGAATCCCAAGAAGTAAGAACTCCAGAATTATCCGATGATTGGTTTTGGGCATATGCACTAACAGAACCTACTAACTGCCTATGACAAGCTCTTCCCTGAAGTTATGATCTTTTGCGACAAATCAAGTGGAATTTCCATAACAAACAATCATGTTCTTCATTCTCGGTCCAAACATATCAAACATCTGATATCATTTCATCTAAGATCACATTTTGAAAGGTGATGTCGAGCTTCACTTCATACCTACCAATCTTCAACTTGCTGATTTATTCACCAAGCCACTGGATGAAGTTCGATTCAACTTTCTCTTCAGCAAACTAGGTATGTTATATCTTGACGAATGATCCTTTCTATAGAAAAATCGTCTATTTTTGTGTATTTGACTAGGTTATGTTCTAACAACCATTGTTCGGCTCCTAGCATTTGTCAAATGCTCTAACATCAGGAGCCTAATTTTCAGAGATTTACAAATCAAACTCCATTCATATAAGCCATTCAGTTCAGGTCGCTCTACAATGGTCCTTGATCAACATGTCTCCCACAAATACCCATGGCGCCACCCATGTCATTTCTCAACCGTCATGGAGCGATAGTTGACAACTCGACCCTTCAACTTAGCCTTTTGCAGACTATTCTTCTAAATCCACCATCATTGCACTTTCTCTCTCCTCTTTCTTCCTCTACCTGACTATAAATTGACTCCTTTTTTTTTCAGTTTAATTTTTACCATCTTTCTCTTCTATCTATTATTTTTGGGGGTGGGGGTGGGGGTGGGGGTGGTAATGGCACCACACAGGTCCTACTAATACAAGGATTCTATATGTACATAATT